AAATTAAAAATTTTGTATTCATGAAACTCATAGTATAAATAGTTGTACATTACTGTAGATGTGGCCACAGGTCGAACTCTTTCCACACATCAAAATATTGATTGATAAATAATTTCGCTCTTAACGTTAAGAAAGTGATCAACAAAACTCGAGGAAAAGCAGTGGACACCCACAGAGTGCTAATAATACAAAACCATGTGACGAGAGCAGCAAAACAACGTTAAAACAACTAGACGCCCCCTCAGTTGAAGCGGTTTTCGGCGGTGCTCGGTGCGCAAGTAGCGGGGGCAACTGAACTTACTTACGTATGGGCTATTTTTTTTTATATTTAGGATACGAAATGGTATAATCTATAATTTTGCTCAATACTTTCATAAATGCAATCATTTATCTCAGGTACAGTTGATGTTTCTATCATGGTTCCATTAAGGATTATGAAATGGAGACTGATAATTTTTGTATTTTTATTTATGTTGCATGCAAATTTTGTACACTCTTATTAAAATGTAATACGTTATTTTTTTGCCTATATAGGAAACAGGGAAGAGTGGTGCTTTGAATAACTCAACAAGTTTGATTTGAACAAAACACGTGTTTTAAACTCTTTGGGCCTGAATTTGAAATAACACATGGTTGTTGTGACTGCCTCCTACCACTGTAGACTATACGTTTGTTGATCCGATTCTTGAGTAATAAAGATATTCTTTCAACCTTACATCAGAGACAAAGAGGCTACTCAAAAAATGTATTCCGTGTATGGGATTTTTTTATATTAGGCAAAAGATTTGTGTAACAAAATATCTAAAAAAATTCAAATTAAAATATCCAATCCATCGACAATTTCAACACATCAGCTGGGTACGTGACATAACTCGATCCGAGACCAAGGATGTAAGTAGGTTTTATGCCAGTGTGTGGGATATATTTTATGTTTGACAAGAGTATACTTACAGAAAAGTCATACGTCAAGAGAACCTTGAGTTGCTTCCAGAAGTGTGCATTGTACATTATCCTGTACAGTTCATGATTCTCATGGAGTGTACATCATTTTGCACAACTTGCCTTGAAATGTACCCAGGTATCCCCAGGAGCCTACTTAAGCGATAAGGTCAAAATGAAGCACCCTGGGCATGGTAAACTGTTCTAAAGTTTATGAGACATTGGCAAAACATGGATTTACGTACAATTAATTATATGCTAAGTGACATCATATCGGAAAAACGTTAATAAGGAGTATACGATTTCCTTTAATTGGTCTTTGACGGTTTGTGACTTTTCTGCAATCCTAAAAGAATAGTCCTACAGAACATACTATTTTTTTTTAATATCCGTACACCTCTCCCAAAATATATTTCCTATCCCTCAAAACCGATTACAACTCATAAATCAAAGATCAAACAACTTTTAACTACAATTTCACACAGTGAACTTGGTAAATCATTTCCACTTTGAAATCAAAAATAGAAGACAACAATGTGTGTAAACACAGACAAACAGTCCTAAGCTTTGTGGATTCTTCTAGAACCGTAATGACGTCAACGACGCCCTGACGTCACGTGACACCTTGGTGACGTCAACGACGCCCTGACGTCACGTGACGCCTTGGTGACGTCGCCGGCGCTTTGACGTCATGTAACGCCTTGGTGACGTCGCCGACGCTTTGACGTCACAATGGCCGTCGTGTTATTTCTGTGAGAAGGTAAATATGAACGTAGTTGCTGGACAACGTCCAACGCAGCCGCTTTGTTAGGCCAGGAGTAAATATAGACTTAGTGAACAGTAACAATGAGTTAAGAAAAAATGAAACTGCTATAAGGGTTGCGTCACTGTTTCAATACGCAAATTACTCAAAGGATTTTTTGCTAGACATACGTTAATTTGTAAATAACACAACTTTTGTTTATCCTTTTACAGTTTATACTTTTACAGTTTATACGGCGTTGAGATACATTGTAAGATTCTTGCAGGTCTTTTTTTCATGGTTTACGAATAAATGTGTAGTAGTAGATACGTGCTACCTTCCATAGGAACTTTAACTACATATTATCATAAAAAGATCAGCAGTAGTATTTTAGGCAATGTGAATTGGAATTAGCATCCAGTAATTTACATAGAAGAAGAAAATTGCGCTTTTATTCAACTGAACAAATTAAAACATATGAAAAAAATGTATGACACTTTGGGTCTTTAAAATCACACTTTTTAAAAAAAATGCACGATATTGTATTTCGAATAATTAAAAAACGTGTTCATAGGGCCATTTTATTATTAATTTGACTAAGACGGCCATAAGGGATGGCTTTTTGTAAGTTAGGGGATTGATTTGGAATATTCTATAAACACAGAGAAGAAATTAATTATCTGAGATATCAACTACCGGTACATGTAATACAATAAACTATAAGCTAGAAATTATACGGACGTTTTTAAATTATGCAGGCATAAACATACTTCCTTATAGAGGACCAATTTATGGCAGTCGATTGCTTAAAAATAGAAGAGTTAGAAGCTAACTAAATTATTATTATTGAGATTACACTCATTTGTGTCACTACAAATCTAGCGTGGGTCATAGAAAACTTTCTTTAAATTTTGTTCCTTAACAATGGTTAAATAACGGAAAAAAACTTATATTAGGTTTGTAAAGAAGAAATATTTTTTCAGCTAAAACCAAAATACGACACAAATCCCGAAAACGCGTTACTACTTACTACAATGAAGCTAAAATCACTCTCTTACTATGTTTATACTCAACAAATTAGTTTTGCTCCTGTTTATGCAATGTTTACCTTGAAGCTTTGATATAAGGAAGAGTGTTTTGTTTACTACCCAGTTAGTTTTTGCTTTGCTATTCTTGCCAAACGTATTAATAGCAAACTGCGCTCTTGGGGACATTTGCTTGTTTTTGTTTCGGCCAAAAGTACACTAAATGAAGTGTGGGTGAACTGTTGGATCCACTTCGTCGTTTTCATGCTTGTTTATTTAGTGATCATAATAAAATTAAATACTTTTCTTTGAAACCCTGATCGAAAACTAAGCTGTTAACATATACATAAAATACACTGAGTAGAAAATTAGGAAGGTTTAAAATGAATACTCGATAAAATTAAAAGAAAAAAAAAACTAGGGTTAGATGTGCTGATGAAAAGGTGTCACAAATCCTCACAACTGTTAATAAATGCAGAAGAATAATGTGTTACGGCTACTTTGAGAAAACACAATTTTATATCCTTTCATTGCAGGTTCATTGCTAGATTTTTGGAAACTATAAAACACCGGTTGAAAAAGTGTTACAGAGTATTCTTATTTTCCCTGATTTATACATTAGTTTAACCCGTAAATACAAAATGTATCCTATATAGAAGAAACCATTTTTTATGATATTCAGGATTTAGCTGAAATTTGTGCCAAGTGAAAATACGGTAAACACTTAAGAAGGTTGAATCCATTAGTTGACCGTATCACAATTTGTTTGTAAAATATGGTATTTTACAAATTAGTTAACACAATTTGAAAAGATATTTTTTAGGATCGATTTGACGAAAACTATGTTTTAAGAAATTGAAATAGCTCGGTCAAGTTTATTGAGCTTTTTTAAATATTGGTCCATTTGATGAAGATTTTAGCCAACGCCAATTACGAAATAATTCAATAGTCTTAGTTTTCTCTTCTTTAATTTATTTCTTTTCTTCCATTTTGCATTTACTTTCGATTATAATTTTGTCTTTCTTTTCTTCTTGAATTCAAATAATCTTCTCTCATTCCAGGCTGAATATCATGAATCTTCCTTTTCGTGACTCATCTCTAGAAGCCTTTTCCATTTTCCCTCCTCGTATATTTGTCGTCAAACCGTTTTCTTATCCAAAATAAGTTTAATTTGGAGGTAATGTGCAGACACACCAGCTGTTCAAGCTGGAGAGCCCCTGGAGGCTGCCCAGCACCCGCCAAAAATATGAGTCTACCCGGCATTTAGCCAGATCTATCTACACCACCATCTGGGCTGTGATTTACCGGGGGATTGGCTTAAATAAGCGGCGTTAAGAGGGAAAAATTATGTGTTAAAAGTTTAATTTCATAGTGGTTGCGGACTGGCAAAATAGTGAGTAGATGTTTTGGCACAATATTATATAATATAAGTCCAGAGTTATAAGTAAAACGGTTTTGAAATTGTGTGGTGACGTTGAAATAAAATGTTGAATAAATTATAAAATATAATGTCTTAAGTATTATAGATATCCTGATATGGTAAATCAGCTACAATTCCATAATGAATCCACATAGAGTAAGGATTAAGGTACGGTAAACTAATACAACAAAATTGGTATAGTTAAAACATTGGAGATATTAATGTAGCCTACCCAGTACATTAACATAGTCTATAGCAGAACCAAAAATTAGTAGTGTAATTAGTGAGGAACATTATTGTAAACATTGTAATAGCATTTTACTTTGATTGTACCGCAGAAAGGTAGGCGGACCTTTACCGTGGTTAGGTTATGTTAGGTTTTTCTGACTCTATACTAACCTAACCTAACAAAATTTGCATCGCTATCACTTCTATTGCTAATAAAATATTGCTCTAAAAACTAGTGGTAGAGAATTAACGGAAAAGGTTCAGGTATGTCAATTCACAACATATTCAATCTATTTAAAAAATTGCAAACCACTTTACCAACCATCCAAATTAGAACAGTGGTGTAATAATGTACAGTAATAAGGTAAAGTATTGAGATACGGTAAGGTAAAGAAGTAAGGATTAAAGTAAGCGAAGTATCCCCCCAACACACATATTGACCCCCACAAATAATGGAGGTTACTAAACAAGGAGCCCCCCAAATTTGATGAAATCCCCATAACCCGGATCTTCTCGCCATCTGCAGTCAGATGAGTTTTTACATTAATTGGAAAGAGTGATTATATCAATAACTTATCAAAAGCTTTAACCACACAAACATGAATCTTAAATCATCAAAGATGCGCAATAACAATGGCAGACGTACCTGATAGTGACAGCGAGGAGGACAATGATGACGCCGACCAGTAGCATGGCGATGAGAACGCCACATAGCATGTAGAGGCTGCCATTTGGGTCATCTGCAACAAGAAACATCGTTGGTAGTAGGATAGCATGTAATTTAATTAGCAACTTTACAAGAATTGATTATAACTCGAGCTGAAATAACAACAAATGAAAAACTCTACCTGCAGAGAACTATCTACATTTGGATCATTAGTGGAGGGACATTGTGGGTCCATAGTAAAATATCAATGACTTGACATTTTTGTGCATCAGAAGCATTAGCTATGGGATAGGGCTGCAAAATACGTTATAAGAACAATGCACACATTTTTATACTGTCATTTGAAGCAAGAAACTCCATTGATCTTTGACAAGTGTATCTATCAAAACATGGCATATGGAGCTGCAATGACCACCACAATAAATCTAAACAAAAGGTGCCTTGAATAGAATCTGTAGATAGAAACGTCATTATTTTATTTTTCCTCAATTGTAGTATGGGCATGGTTTGTCTTACAAATACGCCATAGCTCGAGCTGCCAAGGCGTTTATTAGAAGATAACAGTAAAAACTGGTAAAGAGTAAACTAGGAATCGTCAGTAAGATCGTTGTAAGATGATTTGTTTTTGACAAATTGACAAATGATTGACAACTATGTGTGACAAGCATTGTAGCTATCGTTGCAATGGAATCATAAGAATAACATCGTACGACATGACACTTCTCTATGTACGTTTTGTATGGTAAGTTTATTGAAAATAACCAGACATTTTCACAGGTTTGGTAACGTTTTGAAACTATTCGACCGATGTCGGGGCCGAGCGTCGGTTCCCGCGCCCACAAGGAGGGTCCCCGGCGGGGCTGTTTTTGTAAGCCCCAAACTGACAAGGGTATTTCTCTTGTAGGCTCCGTTGAATGGCATTCAAACGGTCTACTAATTCAAAATGGAGAAACTGTCTGGAAAGAGTGCATTGAAAACATCAACCAATGCTTTTTATCCAACAATTTTGAAATATCTTTCAGTCCTTTTTCAACTTTTTACTGTACTACATTCGTATAAATTACAAGCACTTTTCAAAAGTAGATTTATATTTTTAACCGACTTCCCCACTACCAACAAAAGGAGGAGGTTCTCAATTTGTTTGTGGCGATGTTTTTTTTTTCTATGTATGTTCACCAATTTCTCTGTGATTCTTTTACCGATCAGTGTGGTTCCACCACCAAAATAACCAGGAGAGTTTCTATTTGGTACCTTATACAGTATATTATGTTTAAGTATAACATTTGTTTCGGTGAAAAATTCTGAAAACCATAAATATTCAACATTTAGTTTGTTTACATTTGTGCAGATTGTTTACATTTGTGCAGAGAAGGCAATAAATAATAATAACATTCCTACAGCTGTTAGTTGAAACCATTTAAATGAAGCTACAGACAATTCTTCATGAAACAGTTACTTCATATTGATCAATAAACTATTTCTTGCCATGGAGCCTAAATTAATTACATTGAGAAAAATGCATTTTGTTTTGGTTACTATAAAAAATGTATTTTAACGTTTGACCTGATTTGTGTATACAGTAATTCTGTTTTTAGTATTGAATATTCTGACTTACAATAACATATATGTTTCAGTGAATAGCTGTATGATATTGACAAATAAAGGTGTATTGTGAAAACAAAGCATTCGTAAAACAGGTCTAAATATAAATTAAATGCAATTATTCCTTACACGACCTAAGAAGTGTGACAGTGCATAATCGTCAATTGTCTTAAAAGTGTTAAATATTTTAATTACTAAACATGCATTTGCAGATGTGAAATGTTTATTGATATTCTCTACCCAGTTACTATATCATATCAATACTATTATGCCTGCTTCGGAAAGTCCTAGAGGAAGATGATTTGCAATTTCGACTAGGCTATATCTTGATCAAACAAAACCACCTACATGGCTTGCACCACTTTTAGCTGAACCAATCTTTCATATACATATATTTCATTTGCAGATGTGGAATGTTTATTAATATTCTCTACCCAGTTACTATAACATATCAATACTATTATGCCTGCTTCGGAAAGTCCTAGAGGAAGATGATTTGCAATTTCGACTAGGCTATATCTTGAGCAAACAAAACCCCCTACATGACTTGCACCACTTTTAGCTGAACCAATCTTTCATATAATGTTTTTCAAAGGTACTATACGTGTTAACGACCAATTTTCCACTTTTGAGAGATTTTTTAGTGCTGGTGGCTGAGGAATAACTTTCATATTGTTCCAAAAGGCTTGAGACGTTACTGTATTTCTTTTTATAATGTAGAAGTACACCGATTGCAGGAAACGATGATGTCTGACATTTCAATGTATCTAGAAAAGACAATTAGTTTTTCATTAGGCCTAATGTAATGGACAACTCTTTCTTTCTTAAGGAATATCTAAAAATGTTTATTTTCATACCCTTTGATTATGGAACCTGAACAGGTGACTCAAGCAGTTTTAAAATAATGATTGTTCTGTGGAACTTTTGATTGTTTCAAACAGTTTTGCTTATCAAAAAACCTCAAGTAATTAATACATAAAAAATTATACAGTCACTAAAAATCATGAAATAATTTATTTTTGTAAAAAAATACAACCGACTTCAAACGCTCTAAAAAGAATGAAATAATTTCAATAAAGTAAACTTTTGTATTAGGCAAGCTCACGTATTTCAAGTCGGCGCGGCTCAAACTACAAATAAATATGATTGAAATAAAATATTGTGTGTGTATTTTGAAAATCAATAAATTTTGGCTGGATAACATAAATATATAAAAAAAATACTGAACTGTTTTGTTTATATATTAAAGGAAATATTTTCTTGTATTTTATGTTTACTTCAGAATAAATGCATTATGAAAATAACACACACAAATGTTCTATATGAATAGGAAAATAATTTAGTTTGATATTATGATAGGGAAAAGAAGCTAGTTTAGTATTAAAACGTTACTTTTCCAAGTTAGAAACATTTAAATGCGTTATAATCTTTTTAAAGATACTCGTTAATACCACTAATGCCGATCTCTGATTACGGTAATAAAATAGCACTTAACGCATAACTATGAAAAAGACATGCAGATTAACACCTTTAGTTATAGATAGTCACCTGCAATATGGACACCCTCTTTCAATTTTGTATCCAAAATCATCATAGAGCCGCGCCGACTTAAAAAACGTGAGCTTGCCTAATACAAAAGTTTACTTTATTGAAATTATTTCATTCTTTTTAGAGCGTTTGAAGTCGGTTGTATTTTTTTACAAAAATAAATTATTGTTAAACTGTCGTTTTTTTCCTTGTACTCCCTTAAATCTATACTAATTTATATGGACGTAAATTCCCATACAACCTTAATTTTCCATATTATCATAGCAGTTGAATAATTTTACATAAAAATGTATTACAATAGAACAATCTAACGACTTTGCACCAAACAATCATGGTACAAACACAGTGATCGAGTAAGAAAATCTTATATGGGAATATTTAGTACCAAGACAGACCATAATTTATTGTTTAGCAGCAGCTGATCACTATGGTGCCTTATAGACTAACCTACGCCAAAGTATGATTTATCTATGCTTACAGCATACTTAAACGAAGGAGGTGGCATTTAACTTTGAACACAGTACATAAGATAAATACATTATTAAGACTTATATCATAGTTGTACGGTTACAACTCGATAATAATCTAGAGAATACCAATAAATCGACTGTACCGTGTTTTTTGATAACTTCCAGAGGATTCATCGGGTATTTAGGCTTCTGGGGCACTACACGTCTAGACATCAGAATGGAATTTAGTACGGATGTGATTGGTGGCCTAGGCAGGCGGTTTATATAGTGGCGATGTTGGCCCATTTGGCTCAGTTGCTAAAAGAGAAGCAACTGGCTATATCGTACAGTGTATTTAAACGTCACTCTAGTGTATTTAATTGTATACAGGAAAGATCAAGAGAAAAGTTTTAAAACACTTAAATAATTCGTTTCCTACTATGCTTGTGACAGTTTGCGTTACATTTTGATTTTAAACGAAAACGTACCGTACATCTCTATATCATGTACTTCATCTGTATTTTCTCTATAAGAATTTTATTCATCCTTGCTATGTTCAGGAACTGTCAAGGCACACATTTAGTAGGCTATAACAATGGTTTACCGAGTATTCAGATAGTATTACAGAATAAAAAGTAGACACGTATTGTGTTCTTCTCAACTCTTTATTCTGTGGTTGTATTTTAGGAGGAACACACACACACAATTGTATGTTTAATTTGGTATAGTAAATGTAAACGTCCAATTAATTGTTACGATAGTTACGTGGTAAGTTACCAAGTAAATCAGCAGAAATCGCTATAATACAAATAAATTTATAGGAAGTTAGCTTGCAATAATTTAGCAAATTTCATATAAGAGCTTCGGTCTTGGACCTAGGTCGTATGAACAATGTGGTAATATCAATAGTATAATTATCGTCAGCGTCATTTAATATATTTTTCAATCCTTAAACCAGATCTTGCGATTATTTTTATTTGTACCTTATGTAGAGTATTACTTCCGGTAAGATGTGTTGCGGACTATTTAGAAGCTGAGATGTAGCCTATGCTGTTAATACGAATTGTTTTGACGGTGAATGTTATCTTGTCACATGGGAAAATCACAACGGCAAGAAAAGAAGAGTTGTTTTCGAGAGTCTTGTGTTGGGTTTTGGCAGGTGTGTTCCATTTACTCCAGCTGCTGCCCTCGCCAGTCGCCAGCAGCCCCTGGGGGACCTCACAAACAACCTTTCTCACTGAACTTGATCATGTTTCGATAACGAATTTTCTCAAGATTCACGTTCAAAACTAGTGGCAAATTAACAAATATGCATTGGTTTAAAATCTTCTCGTCGCCCCGTCAGTTATTGGAATGTATCCGGGGAACTGAAACTAAAGTTGATCAATCATATCCGAATGATGTATAACTTTCTTCCTAAGGTATGGATGTTGTACTGGATGTGACAAAACTATATTTGTTAAATAAACTCAAC